CACCTACAGCAGAGATTTTACTGGAAAGGTATGAGGCAAGATGTGGAAGAATGGTGCAGAACCTAATAGCATCAATCTACGCAATAGAATGAAAAAACTACATATAAAATATTAGGTAATCCATTTCAAAACTGATTTACCATTAAATTACTATTGGAAATATTAGAAGTAAAAATAAACCCTCTCAGATTATATTTGCAATATTAATCCAAATATTAAATTTATTTGGATATCATAACCATCTTCCAAATACTTTATCACCATTTTTTCTAATCACTTTTCAGTCTTATAAGCTTCATCTTTCTTATCGTATTTAGCTAATTTTGGTTCATAGAAGCTTCCTTCAATTTTTCATCACATACCCTCCCCAAATGCGATCAATTTTCGACGGAATCACATTACCTACGAACACCAAACAATGTCAAAATGTAGCTCTTATACATTTCGTTTTACCGCAACTTTTATCTGTTCTTTTCGTAACGTGACTTGCTGTTTTATATGTTCAAAAGTGTTTTAAAATAACACGTTGAACTATCTGTTGTCAACAGCACTCACCGCTAACTTTGTCTGATCGAAAAGTAGGGCTTGTCTGTCATTTTTATGCCATACCTAATCGCGATTTCTTGAATTCATATTCTGAGCATGCTAACCATTAGGTCACATCCTACCCGCATACTGCAATAATACTTATAGTATTATTTGTGTGACAGTAGACTTTGGATATAGGAGTTTAAGTTTTATATATCCATTATTTTTTGATTTTTAATTTCATGCACCTGTTCTGTGTTATTTCGCTTTTTTTAATGGTTCATATAATATTAATATTTTAAACTATTTATTTGTTTGGTTTACAGCAAAGTCACTAAGGGCTACCTACTGTGTACACCTCGGGGAAATGACTCCCTGGTTTCTAGTCTGTAGCCTTACCGTTATCCCACTGGGGGACATTTTAAAACTAATAATAATAAATTACATGTTTTATATATTTAAATAGAGGGCTCTATTAATGTTTGCTAGTTTCAGAAAGGATTTGCCAATATCAGGAAAACGTGTTACATATACATATATGGATTCCAGTCATTCATTTGATTGCTTTTTACTTCTGTTTATTTTCTTAGACATAAATTATTTTTTTTATATATTTATGTAAAATTGTATAAATGTTTGTGACTGCAGTTTACTTAACTGAAATTTAAAATAAGTATTTACTGTCTCCTCCAATCTCTATGCGTAAGTATTAGTAACTCACTAAAGAGTAAAGTCTAATTAGAAATAGCGCTCTAACGACGTGTAACTTGATCGTTGACGTTATCTGTTAGTAACAAAAGTTCCGTATAAACAGCGTAAGTAAACTGATGTAGCATTATTTATATAATAGAATTGCCTCATAACTGTATCTTTAATATTAATACATTATTTACTAATATAATTTATAAGCATTAGTAGTCGTTAAATTTAATAAAATTAATTCAACGGCTCAAATTCACTCACTGTTCTGTTTATTGCAATGTAACTTGTGTGTAAGTGTAAATTCTGTGTAACTGTAACATAAGTGTAACGTTGAGAGTACAAGTTCAAGACTTTATATGAGAATCATGTTTCAGCTTTAAAAATTTAAAAGTATTATTTTAAGTTTTACTATCTCTGTAATCTTTATATAAGTTAGAACTACCTTCACCATGATGTTAGAAAGAGGTATCCAAGAAATTTTAACTTAAAGATACAAAACTCTATAACCCGTTTTGAAAACGTGGACTGTTCTTCTTCAGGGGCAAACTGTTTGCCCTTGAATAAGAAACGTTAACCTTTTGAAAACGGGTTATAGGGTTTTGTATCTTTGTAGTACCTTCACCAGTAACCTGGAACTTCCAGTGGAAGCTGGGGGAAAAGTAAGAAATATAAAAGAAAACTTTTTAGTCTGTGGTGAAAGGTATGACAGTTTTTAATTATAAATACAATAGGAATAGCAAGAAAGATAACTTGTATGATTATGCTCATGGTCATACCACTTTGGAATTTTTAATCCTAGTGAAATAAAATGAGAACTAATGTAGATTCAATACCATAGTGGCTATTCACTACAAATTAATGTGTTGTCACCTTGAGAAATGTTGGTGAAAGAAGGTACCTTGAGCCATAGAACTCTAGTCTGCTTATTTCGTATAAAGCACCCAATTTTGAAAGGTGTTAATAGTTTTAATTTTGGAATAAAAATACTTGTGACTAAACAGCTATTCACATATTGTGTTTGCTTTTAATGGAATGTTATTACATTGAATTATATGTGTTTCACTTACTGAGATGGATTATGGCTTATCATTGACATGACCAGAACACCAATTATAAACATATCTAGTCATTGTTGATATTATTCACTGTGTAAAGATACATGAAATCTTAAAATGTTTATGATAATTCTGTTAGGCTTTTTTTTAATGTAATTGTTAAAAGTGGGCATTGTAAAATTTTAGCACAAATGTGGTTGCTTTTCTTAATGCATTTGAATGTCCTTTATGACTTAACTTCAAATAAACTAGCATTTTTCAAAATAGGACCGAAATGGTTCTTCATTAATTGTTAAGGAAATGACATATATATTTTCTGAAAGTGACAGTGTCTAAATCCTTAGGTAATACCATAATTGTTAATATATTAAGTAAAGCCTAATTAGTTATAAGGATTGGTTCCATTTTATTACTGTTTAATAAATAAGTAATGTATGAAGAATAATAGTGTTGTAATTGTAATTGTTTTTAATAATTAAATATGCTAGTTAGTAAAAACAGTTTGGATTGTGTGTAATGTTGAATATAACTTGTATGGGAAAAATATTTTTACTTATTTTTTCATTTAGAATGTGTATTTTGTTGTAATTGAAACTATAGATTATGAAATGTTAGATAAAGCATAAGAGAAACAAATCTGTATCAAGATGACCTTTGATGAATATAGAAAAGGAAGTGCAGAATATTTACAGATATAAGTTTTAAATACTTGTGTGTGTGTGTGTGTGTATATATATATATATAGTAGGTAGTTCGTTGACTAAATTAAAACAAGAACTAATACTAAATAAAATACGAAAGGAATGTACTAAGTAAAAATCACAGTGTACTTAAGAAAAAATAAAGACGAAA